TAAACAGTTTAAGGTACAAATTTTTATATACATCATCTCCTTACCATACTCAAAAAATACAATTATCTCAAGATGAAACCTAGATGTTTTCTGTTTATTTGCAATTATTCATATAGTATCCTGTTTAGCGCCATACCAGCTGTATTTGTGTCATTGTATAATATATAAGGTAAGTAGTTATTAAAAAGTAATCACATTCTAAATACATATAAGTGTGATAAAACATTGATCATCGAAAGATTAAAAATACTAATCTTACTGCATAATAGCACCCCGTGAACAGTTTTTATTTGAATTGTGAAAGATCATAAGAAAAGTAAGTACTTCAATTGTGCATTAATATCATTTTCTGTGATGTTCTACAGGTTGCATGGCACTACAGGAATTAAGTACTATGTATAGAGGATATCTTCGAAATTATGATGCAAGCGGTCAAATAGTAATTCTATATACAGAAATATGTTGCATGTAAAATCAACATTTGGCCAATTGTAACACAATTTCGATGGCTTCTTATATGTGTGTGTATATATATATATATATATATGTGTATATATAATTCATTTACATTATATTATCTAGTAATATAGTATTTAAAGAATTATAATATCAGTGAAAGTACTCGATGAGAGAAACAAATTATCAAAAGAATATCTTTGCATCATGTACACTTTTTAAGAACATATTCGTAAACTCTAGCATTGTCTTCATCATTAGAAGTGCAAAGTTTCACAAATATATTTCAGTATTTTATATTGATTAACGAAATCTCTCATAGCTAACAACTTTAATTCAATAACTTGTGCAAATGAAGCTAAGACGTGTGTAACTACTTTCTTCCGAGATGTGAGATAAAATGCTAAGACGGTACAAATAAAGTAAGTAGAGTGTAAGTTAAGAGTAATTAAAAAAATACTGTTCTATTTTGTACGTCGCACAGGTTTCACATGCAAGTGTAAGCCTGAAGGCAGCTTTCTTTTTAAAACTACTAAAACGATTTCTTTAAATCACTGTACATAGATTTATAAACTTATACTACATAGCACAGAATGTGCTACTAAAATGGCAGTACTTTAAGTAACAGATGTTCATACTACTTTGTAAGTAAGTACTTCGACACGTTTTATATATGTCATAAGATCTTACTGAAAAAGTTCTTCTACAAAAATTTCTGATCGTGTCGAGTCTAAGAATATCTCGTATTTCTTTTACCCTATGCAAACGAATCGCTATATTCTTTTTTCTTAAATGTTTTATCATAGATTAAAGACTCTCTCAATTTATCGTATTACTCGCATAATATTCGAATTTCATTTAAATCACAAGGCCTGCATCTTTAGCTATACCATAGAACAAGCTTGACGAATTACGTAGTAACACATCCGGCGAATCAAATTCCATAATGCGTCCATTATCAAGGACGATGACCCTACAAAGCATAAAATGTATTTAATATCAATAAACGTATATAAACGTATCATAAAATCCTTTTATGAATCGTGAAACTCACCTGTCTGAATCAAGAATAGTATTAAACCTGTGGGCTATTGTGAGAACCGTGCACTCACTAAATTCTCGTCTAATTGTCGACTGTATTAAATCATCGGTTTCAAGATCAACCGATGCGGTTGCTTCATCAAGAATAAGTACTTTTGTTTTTCGAAGTAAAGCCCTCGCCAAGCATATTAATTGTCGCTGACCTATACTTAAATTATCACCGCCTTCGGTTACTTCATGTAGAAGACCACTAGTCAAGTCTGAAATGTAATGCAACGTTATGTACTCTCTTGTATATGAAAATTTAAACTTGATAGAAATTCTATTTACTTTGAACAAAAGATTTCAGATGCGCATGTTCCAACGCCGTCCAAACTTCTTCGTCCGTGTGATTATTGAATGGATCTAGATTCATTCTTAAGGTTCCAGAGAACAATATAGGATCTTGTGGTATGATAGTCAGTCTAGATCTTAAATCGTGAAGACCTAGTTTAGAGATGTCGATGCCGTCGATGGTAATTTGTCCTTCGGCCGCTTCTATTATCCTGAACAAAGCCAACGTCAGAGACGACTTGCCAGCACCGGTTCTACCGACAATGCCAACTTTTTCTCCTCCCTTAACAGAAAACGACAATCCACGAAGTACAAGGTCCAGGCCTTGCCTGTAACGAACTTTGTAATCTTTGAAGTCTACGCGACCTTGCATAGGCCAGTCATTAGACAGCACGTGATTGGGATTCTTCCATGGTGCTTCCTGAGGTGTTTCTGTGTACTCCTTTATTCTTTCTACAGCTACTATGTTCGTTTCGACGTCGGATGTCATTCTTACCAACCAATTTAACGTTTGGGTTACCTAAGTAAAGAAAGCATTGTTTATCAACTGTTGACTCTCTACAACTATAATTACTTTGTAAATCTCTAAATATGATGTCCTACTTGTAAAGCATAGCCAACAGATAGACCAACCATACCCGGCTCCATAGTATCTCTTGATAACACCGCAAAAAGTGCAGAAAAGAAAATAATTAAATTTCCAACCATTTCTAAACGCACTGCCAGCCACCTATAGAAAACAATAATATCTTATATCTAATGATGATATCTTATATCTTTGATTTGGAAATTGAAATGAAAGTTATACCTGTTTGCGATTATGCTAGGATAATAGCAAATTTGATTAAAATCTACCCTGTTCTCAGACTCGAGAATAAATCGGTCTTGCACACCAAATGCCCTGATAATCTGTGCCCCTAAGAAGAAAACATAGTGATGTAAATTTTCATGTATCATCTGTTAATACTTGAATACCTAGTCATACATTTGTGTCGTTACATACCAGACACAGATTCACTGAAATGCGAGTATATTGGAGATCTTGAAACAGATTCCAGCCGTTTCAACTGCCTTGAACTAGCAACATACAATCGTTGAACAAAGTAATAGATTACACCTATTGGTATTATTACTGCCACAAATATTGGCGTACTGAAACTTATTACCACTAAAGTTGCTATGACCTGTAACGTAAAGGTGTTGTTTAGAAAGATATATTTTACGAACGTGTCTCTTATTCATAATCGTATGAACCGTATCGCAATCTTAGAAACACATATACCCCTATGTTCATGTATGCAGTTATAAAATGATAATAACTGTGAGGAAACAATTTAAAAATTTATGATCATGCAATTCGTTTGAAGAGATACTCATGTATATCATTTATCATAGTATATATAGCACATTATATATATACTATACATATAATCAAACGTGAACAATATTTCTTTTTTCTATCGATATACGGAATAATGACTGATAAACTTCAACATCTTAAACCAAACATGTACTACACACAATTATTATGAAAATATTAGTTGGTATATACTTGCACAACCATTTACCATCGTTCATTGTCTCAGATATATTTACCATACTTTCTCATATTTGCCATTTATGATACATTAAACATCTAATTTAGTGGAACGGACACAATTATACACAATTACAGCTGATACAACAGAGTTCACGTACGTTACTTGTTCGGAATAAAATGTACATTCCCGTACAACAAATAACTTATCGAAAAGCTATAACCGAGGATCAAAGGCCATGACAACATATAATTTCAAACTATAAACGTACTAAATAAAGGGATGACCGTGTGATGTAATTAAATGAGAGATACTTAAGATTCAAACCAATACAAACCCTTTGATAAAATGGAAGTATACTCAAGGTAGACCCATATGATAAATAATGACTAAAGAACATGTAGGAAAGAAATAATAAGAATTAATGATTACAGTTTGGTTCAGGCATTTCCGACAATTACCTCGAACAAGCAATAGATGCTATCAGAAATTTGCTGAGGAAGAGATGTGTCCAGTATGTCGACGTCTTTAGCAAACCTGGAGATAATGCGACCAGTAGGTGTCGTATCAAAGAAGGTCAATGGAGAACGCATCACAGCACGCAGCATCACTATATGCATCTGGCGAGCAGCCAGCCAGCAGCCCAGCTGCGGTGCCAAATCGCAGAAAAAACTCGCCATCGCTACAACATCAGACATGATTGGCTTTCATTGTAATCGTATCAATAAGAATTTCGAATCTTAAGTAGTTGAGAACTGGTGAGAGGAATATGCTAGAGCATTTTACCGATCTGAAACACTTCAACAAATGTTTCTCTTCATTCAAGTTTCTCATTTGTTACAATAAATTTTTCTCGTGACAAAACTCAAGAAATATTTGTAAGATTTCGTAATATCTATTCGCTTTTAATACGCATGAACAAGTGAAAAGAGATATTGTCCAACAGATAAATTTGTAATACCAAAAAATTAAAAAATGCTGTTCTGTCTCATGTTATGCGAGGTGGGTGAAGTTTGCTGTGAAGTATCATGCTAGGCACAAGTAATGGATAACAACGCACAGTAAGCTAGGCAGTTAATACTGAAAAATTTATGCAAATTACACAAGGAACTTCCAAGCACAAGCAACACTGTTCGCATAAGATAAAAGTTCATGGTATAATTGTGTCCATTACCTAATTATAATGTTATACTACTGTATAGTAGTTGTGCATGTAGATTGTTAGTGACTATACAAAACAATAAATAAAACGAAAGGCGAAAATCGATCTTTCTGGAAACTCCTTTAATGAAAATTTAGATGTTAATTACCTGAAACAGACACTATCTATTTAATATTACACTTGAGAAAATAAATCATGAATAATTTCATAAAATGGCTGAAAAGAGAAGAATATGTACCGATGATAATGGAACTCAAGCTGCTAACTAAATCATAATTCTTCTGCTTTTAATAAATTAAAAAATGATAAATCAATTTAGAGAAATGATCTTATCTGTACATAACTATAATTTGCTTCAGCATGCAAACAACATTTTTTAAGTGATTTTTCATACCTTCTTCATATAGTTACCATAGGTATACTTCTTCGAAGGTCTAGCTTAATAGATAAAATATTAAATAAGGTATATGTATAATATCAAAGTCGTGATTGCAATGAGTAAACGGTTATTTTCGCATGAGAAACAGTAATTGTTAAGCACAAAATTTACAAGAGACAAATAGCATACCGAAAAGAGGCAAGTAATCCAGGAACGTAGTATTGTTGGCAAAACATTATCAATGACATCGGTGTCTTTACCGAATCGACTGAGAAGTCGACCGATCGGAGTACTGTCAAAGAATGACATTGGGCTGTGGAGATTACGTTGCAACATACACTCGAAGAGACGCACGGAAGCATATATCGCTCCTTTTGCCATGATTAACGATCCAGCAAACGTTGTTAGGCCTACAACGATTCGTGATAATTTTGATACATTATTGATCCCGATATATTTATATCAAGAATTTGCAACTCTTCTTGCAAAAATTGCATTTGTCTATTAATCTAGATAGTTTTAGGAAAAGAAAACCAACTCATTTAATCTTAGTCTTAGCTCACCGTGTGTGTAACATCATTCTGCAAGTTCCTTATTGCAGTCACACATGTATCAAGGTGCATTTATAATTAGAAACGAAAAGATTATTGCATAGGTACATTATAAGCAAATCATGGCAAACTATCATAGCTTGTTAAAAGAATAGGAATCAAGTAGTGAACATGCACTACTGTAAAATAATCGTTATATGATTAATCTTTAAAGCGAAACTACGTGATAGTGGAATTTACTTTAGTTAAATCTTTTTGATTTTTTTCAATTAAACTATAATTCAGCGACTAGAATTCTAAGTTTTAGTAGCGTGTAAGTAAGACTTCTTCTTACTTTATCAGTATACTTATATATACATTAGAATTAATAACTGAAGATAAATGCATGCGAAATATAAATTATACTCTCTCTAGTATCAAAGACATTCAAATGGTTGCATTTTAACATGTATTACTATGAAAGCCCTTACTGTGAGTATTAATGTTCTATAGATACAGCAAACCACACTCGCTGAGATGTTGTTAATATTGGAGCATTGGCTAATGTGTAAAATTATTTCAGAAAGAGAAGGTATTTGGTATGATGATGTACTAAGACGTGTGCATATTTATATTCATACCTATCGTTTACTCTAACGAAGAAAAATTAAATTGCCTCAAGACCATGTAATCTGTGAAGGAACATGCTCTTTTTTGGAGAACTTTCAATCACACAAGCCTAATAAGCTTACCTTATTAAACTTACAATGGTTTTGTTTTACAAAAACAGCTAATGTACTCAATTTCCGTAAAGAAGAAGTGCTAAGTATCATATAATAATCATAGAATCTTGATAACATACCCTGACCAAGTCCGAGTCCACCATATACTCCAAGGTACATATCTTGTTTTGCTTTATCGAATGTGTTATTGTAGTCTGTTAAATTATCATTGGACCACACACTCAACCAAGAATTCGAACCAATACTGAATCCTTGGAAAATTGCATTCATTACAATGGTCGCTATCGACAAGAACCATCCAATCGATTTGAAATAGTGCGAATACACTTGCCATTTGACCTTAATTTAGAAAAAAGAAAAGAAATATATAATTGTATACACAACAGCATTTTTAAAATCACCAAGAAAGAACAACTTACGCTTCCAGTTTCAGTCTTTTCCACTTCAACTAACTTGTCTATTGGTTGTGCTGGTTTATCCATCATGCTGTTACTGCGTATATAGCTATCTGATTGTTGACTATCTGTAGAATGTTGTCTAAAAATTTGTTTAAAATTGTGATAACTAAACAGAAAGATAAGAATGTAAAACGTTGAATAACAATGAAAGAAACTTACTTCTTTAATGAGCCACGTAAAGATCTTTTCTCAGCGATAGAACCAGATTCACTTTGACTCTCTGATGTTCTTGATCTGGCTCTTGTCAATTTCTGTTGCAACTCGTTGGAGCCTATCGTTGTTTCCAGTTGTTGTTTAATTTCATTTAAATCTTCTTCTGACCCATCATCAGCATGCACTGTTCCAAATTTATCATAATAGATATAAAATAATACGTCATATTAAATAAAAAAAAAGGTACATTATTGTAATATCATAACGTAATAATTTTCTAATATTAGAATTTAGTAACAGAAATGTTTGTTGTTCTACATCAAAAAGATTTCAATTCATTTTGCAAGTAACGAACGTTAATAGCAATACTTAAAACACAAGTTACGAAAAGAATAAACAATTGTATTTATCTAAAGAATGTTTCAGCGACACCGTGGTTCAAATGGAGCATGCGTTATGCAAAAGGTAGACCTGCATGCGTGTTATACTGTATTAGGTGGAAATAAAAAATTGCACGAAAGATGACTTCACAATACAAATTGGTCATTAAAAATTTCTAAGATAAGAGGATCCAAAAATATTAATAACCTTGATACTCTAAAATCTCAAGCCAAATGCAATATGAACCATTTTCCGTACAATCGCAAATAAAAATACTTAGGGAAAGGAATCGTAATTACTTTTTTCACTGACTTACGATTTCCAACTTAGAACCATGAAAAATATAATTGAATATTAATTAAGAGAATACGAATGAAGAAAGTAAGGATCAGAAGAATTGATGTATACCTTCTTGCAGGTGATGGATTAAAAATTCAGAAAAAGCTCCCTTTTTCTCCAGAAGCTGTTTGTAATTTCCAACTTCGGTTATCTCACCATCTTTCAGAACAATTATATTATCGACTTCTGGTAAGAAGGTGATGCCATGTGTGACAAGTATTCTTGTTTTCTTCTTGAGTAAACCAGTGTTGCCAATCACATTTTCAAAGATGTGTTTTCCAACGTGTGAATCTACTGCGCTCAAAGGATCATCTAAGAAGTACACGTCCGAATCATTGTACACTGCTCTTGCTAAGGCCACTCTTTGCTTCTGTCCACCCGATAAATTAATACCCTTCTCTCCGATTTCAGTCTGATCGCCTGCAGGCAATATCTTTAAATCTGGATTCAATGCGCACGCTTCAATCACACGATTATACGAATTTTTATGTTGTGGTTTGCCAAACAGTACATTGTCTTGCAACGATGCATTTTGTATCCATGCTTGCTGAGATACATAAGCAATGGATCCCTATATGTAGAAAAGAATTAATATCTTGCCGGCATCTAATTAAATTGAAAAATATGTAATTTGTTAATAACCTTCGTGTTAACTCTGCCACTGATTTTGTCCATCTCTCCCAAAAGTGCTGATATCAGAGAACTTTTACCAGATCCCACTGTACCGACAACAGCTACCAACTGCCCTTGTTCTACTTGTAAATTGATATTTCTTAACGTTGGTTTCTCAATATTATCTGCTTCCCACGTGAAAGTACCGTTTTCAACTAATAGCGCGTGAGCTATATAAATTATATATTGGTATATTATAGCGTGTTCGTTTTAATAAGTAACTACTATAGTAAATAATACTTACATTCAGATGGATCATGTTGAACATTGTTAGGATCCAATTCTTCTGTGTTCATGAATTTGTTAATACGTTTAACAGAAACCCAAGCCTGAATACCATTAAAGTCATTAGTCAGTACGTAATTAAGTGCAATATAATTAAATTTTAGTGAGTTCTTAATTACCTGAACCATGTTACCAATCATCATGGGTAATATAGACAGAGGAAATCTTAAAATGTTAAAAAGGCTAAGAGAAACGAATGCAACAGTACTATCTAAGCGGTTCTTTTCATCTATAAGTACATATGTTGCAAAGGATACTAAAGATACCTAAAATAAAACAAATGATTAGAAGATTGTAATTACAGTCGTTTCGATATTGAAAAGTTTAAAGCGATTTGAGAGAAACTTACCAAGAAAGGAGCAAACGACCAGATAAAACTTGTTCCAGAATTGAGGTATGCTGCTTCTTTCAATACTTGAATTTCTTTTGTACGTATCTTCAGTATTTGCTCTTCAAATGAAGGTTCCCAGGCATACAATTTCAACACTTTGATGCCATTGAGAACTTCATTCATTAATTTAACTCTTTCATCTTTGCTTTTCATTTGCCTAATTTGTAATGTTTTTACTCTATTCGTGATCAATAAATTTATTGGAATAAGAATAAGTAGAACAGCTAAACCAGCGAGCACTGCCGGCCCCAGTAGTTCCCACAAAAAGTATAAGGCTAAAACGATTTGTAGAGGCGCAGACCAAATCATATTTATGTATGCTGTTAAATCCATGAATCTCTGTGCATCCACGGACATTAAGTTTACTATTTCACCAAGTGTTGATTCTTTTCGAGCGGTGTTGGACATTCTCAATGCCTTCCGATAAATTGCGGCTGTTAATGCAGTACGTATACGTAATCCAACTAAGAACATGCGGTGAAAGTACTGAGATAAAATTAATGTTTGAAATGTGGCTGTAACTAGGAGTAAAACTGCTAACAAATAGCCTTTCCACATTGACTCGCGTTCCTCAATAAAACGAATGAGTAGTCTAAATTAAAAATAATAACAATTATAATCTATACAGTTGTGATTCCTAATTCCTTTACTAATTTCAGGAATACCGAACTTGTTATTTAGAGTAGGAAAGATCATGCAGAAATGAGCTATGACACTTACTTTAATATTTGTGGACTAACAAAGGTCATAACATCTTGTACAGCTTTAAGTATGGCACCAAATAAGAAGGAAGCACCAAAAGCTTTACAAAGAGGTGACAAAATCGACGACACCTTCTTTTTCCGTCCATTATTAAAATCTACTTGACCAGAAGACTTTCTAAAAGATGCCTTAGTGTTGTGTACACTGAAATAAAATGCAAACGATATTAATGCATTTCATATATTGAACTTCAATTACTTTAATTTAATTACAGATGTAGGCAACTACTTTTTCTTTGTCCATTTGAACTTACCTAAAGCAAATCCAAAATACTCTTGTTAGCAAAAGTAGATTGACATTTTATTACTAATGTAATTTGATACACAAGCATTCCATAATATTTATTCTCATTATCTTTCTAATAAATATCATCAAATATTTATAAATATCACACTCACTTGTTGTTTTTTTGCACATTCTTGTTCCAGTATTTATCAAATTTTGGAACTACTTCTCTAGCCGAATCTTCCGCATTCATAGACCACAAGTCTGTAGCTTCCAAAGGTTTTCGAAAACCTTTCCATGCCATTGGATCGAACCATGTGAAAAATATTTTTGATGGAAAGGAAGAGGCCTGCTCTGGACATGATATTCCTTCCTGTTAAATTTAATATGTAGAGTTAATGACACAGTACAAATTGAATGAAGACTAAACTGGATATAACAGATAAAATTACCTTTGGATATTCAATACCCTCAGGTTCTGCGTCAACCAGAAAATTCAACAAGAATAAAATTACAACTACTGGGTAATATATCATATATGATACAAACGAATAAGTGACTTTTCTCTGAAAAAGTAATACAAATAAAAGTTGAATTATGAATCTCTTAAAAATATGACATCATAAATAAGTAATGTACCTCCTCAATGTACAGCCTTAATATGGTTCTGTATTGAACGACTCCACATATTACAACAAGAAACCAAAACAAAAATAATAGTCCAGAAGTGCGCATTCCACGCTTCTTATTACATATTACTAAAAGAAATGCAAGAATCTACAAGAGGAAACAATGTGAATATTAAGTTTAATCTGGAAGATTTTCAAAAAATGATTTGAAATAATACTCACAAAGGAAACTATCTTTACACATGGTGTATAATAATCAACACTAAAAACGATTTCAGAAGAACCTCTATGTATTGCATTGCCTACATCAACAATACTAAGTATAATCAATAATGCCAAAAGTATTTGTTTAGAAATATATAACCACGTGTATGGAATATTTTTCTTCTTGCTACTTATAAGGTAATAAACTTCTATCGGTGAGAAGAACCATAAAAATGCACATGGTAACCATATCAACATAGTCTTTTGAAAACATTTTGGGATATCTGGATCTTCCGTGTTCCATGCTAAATTATCATCCTAGAAGAACAGGGAGAAAAAGAAACATTACTTTAATATATTCTTTTATAACTTAAAATACCATGTAAGGGGAGGGAAAGCGTTTCGTCCTGGGCCCGCCAGAGGACTCATTATTGAAGCTATCCAGCAGGCTCTGCGTTATAGTCGCAGGAATATCATAAAGTAAGGAAGGTCGAGGACGATATAAATATATATGTGGATCGGTGAAGGATCATGTAGTAGCGGGAAAGGTGTTAACTAATTAGCCATCTGCTGGAGAGCGTAGGAGATAGCTGCCACAATAGTTTTTTAATAGTGTTCAATTGAAAAATTTCGAAATAAATGTTCGCTAATCAACAAGTCATTTTCCATAGCGTAATCTAACAAATTCTTTGCGGTTTATTATTTAGATGAAAATTTTTCAGCCGTTTTTTTCTATGTATCAAGGTCATTGAAAATCGTAATAATAAACTTCCGGTAAGCAAAGCGTTACAATGTTTCCAAAACGATAAAATACAAGACCAAATATCTTTTCCGATCGAAAATCATGCTGCATTCGTTTCAGTCTTGCGATTGAGAAACCATGAGATTGGAATGGTGATATCGGAATGGGTGCTGGATTAGCTGAATAGTAATCCGATCGGGAACGTATTCATTTAAAAACAATTCGATGATATCGAAACAATATGAGTAAGATAAAAATATATACGTACCCAGAACGGGGAACCACAAAATTGATCCATAGTTTGATCCTCAATAATGATACATTTACTACATAAATTTTTTGGTCAATTATGTTCCGCGAATTCACTTATCCTGGCTTTCCGGCAGATCTTTCGAGTAATTAATTAAGTACACAGAGACGAACACTTTTTGAATTCGAATAACGGTTACAACTAGTCGCAGGTCATCCGACCGAACAAACACACAATTACGATACTTATTGGCATGTGACCAACACCAACCATACAGCTAACAACCGTTCGCTTGAGAAAGCGAACGCAAACTGTACCCGAACCGACTCGGATTTACATTATAAAGTCAGGCCGGCGAGAGTACATACCACGGGTTATACGGTTATACGGGCTGCGGGGTACCCATACCTATGTAGGGGTAATGACAATTCCCCTTTTGCGCAGAAGAAGCCCAACGCAAAGAGGATCTGATCCTCTTTTGCCCAACGCATGCAATCGTCGCTCTGCAACATTACCGAAAGATGTCGCAATGTGAAATTTTATCTTATACAATTGCATACATATATAACAACTGTACATACGTATGTGCGAAAGACTAGGGCACTGCGGCGGTGATCAAACTAACTAAAAAAACAAATTGTAACACCAAACGTTACTTTCTATCAACTATGCAACAATAAAACGATAAACAAAGAGTCGTGTATCATCATTGCTAAATTTTTCGTTCATATCCATCCATTGAAACTATCAGTTTGTCAAATAAAATAGTACACAAGTCATACATACTTCATAGTCATGCACGTGGAATGCGTGTTTTTTTTTTATGTACAAAGTGTGTATGTATGTATGTACATACAAAGATACTATTCTATATTTTAATTTAGAAGACTAGGTATGGTATGGACAATGGCAATAAGAATTATTGTTCATGTTTACTCTACGAAGTCAGCAGAGGAATAATAGATTATCTAGAAAGCGTGGAGTAGTGGATGACAGTTCGACTCGACTTGCTCGAACTTGTGTCATTGGAGAGGATCAATCTTTGTTCCAACACTTGCCGTTCGTTCATTTATTTGACCAATTACAATACATTGCGTCATGCCATCACATTCATATAATTCGAAAGTATCATCAATTTACTGCATGAAAAAGGGTGGGACAAATCACTCGAACCATTTAATGGGAAATTAAATTGTAGATCTCCATAAGATCCTCTGAGTGAGCAATTATGTTGCAATCGAAAGGCAATTTGTCCCTGTATTACATTGCGTTTTTATATCGTAATCTGTCACCGCGACTGATATGATAAGCAATTAATTGAAACTGTATCGATAAATAAAGGGAACATCGGTTGATCGATTGTTTACCAAAAAAGGAATGATTTTGATTCCTTTGTCTACGAGATTTTTTTTTTTTGTGTGTGTGATTAGCTTGCAGTCAAAATAAAAATTTTATAATTGTAATAAATTCATTGCAATCCAATAATTGAGTGTTATTGTCGGAAGCAACATTTTAATCAGAATTGCATTCATTGAGGCCTAACCTTGATGGTAATTCCTTCTGTTCACGCGGCAATAAAAAGAACAGATGCGTTGTCGCGCTACGCAGATATTTCATTGAAAGTGTTGCAGTATACATAGTAACGTAACAGAATGATGTAGCTAAAATTTGACGTTGATATACGATGACAATGTCGTTTAGATATATAATATGTGAAGATTCAACCACAACATAATTTCCTACTTATTATCAATACTGTTATCGAAATTCTTATGTAAACCCTTTGTATTCGTCATGTTTCTGTGTATAAATCGAGTACTTTTGTTATAGCAGTTGTGAGCGTCTTCCAATGTTTTATTACTTGAATTGTTGAAAACCTTTTCGTTCGTGAGAAATGTTCATAATAAAGTGTGGTTTATGTAATTATATTTAATTACAT